AAGAGCTATTGTTCCGCAGCTACCTTACCATCAATTCTTTAAAGAAACCTATATCAAAAATAAATATATATATACAACAATTTACATGAAAATATATAAAATGAAATAAATCAACTAATCTTACTATTAGGTGCTGAACCGTAGCTCTTAATTAGGTCCTTATGATATATTATAAAGACCTAAGAGCTACGGTTCCGCAGCTACCTTACCATCAATTCTTAGAAGAAACCTATATAAAAAATAAATATATATACAACCATATACACATGAAAATATATAAAATGAAATAAATCAACCAATCTTAATATTAGGTATAGATCCATAGCTCTTAATTAGGTCCTTATGATATATCATAAAGACCTAAGAGCTACGGTTCCCCAGCTACCTTACCATCAATTCTTTGAAGAAACCTATATAAAAAATAAATATATATACAACAATATACATGAAAATATATAAAATGAAATAAATCAACCAATCTTACTATTAGGTGCGGAATCGTAGCTCTTAATTAGGTCCTTATGATATATTATAAAGACCTAAGAGCTACGGTTCCGCAGCTACCTTACCATCAATTCTTTTGAAGAAACCTATATAAAAAATAAATATATATACAACAATATACATGAAAATATATAAAATGAAATAAATCAACCAATCTCACTAATAGGTGCGGACCCGTAGCTCTTAATTAGGTCCTTATGATATATTATTAAGACCAAAGAACTACAGCTCAGCAGCTACCTTACCATCAATTCTTTGAAGAGACCTATATAAAAAATAAATATATATATAAAACAATATACATGAAAATGTATAAAATGAAATAAATCAACCAATCTTACTATTAGGTGCGGAACCATAGCTCTTAATTAGGTCCTTATGATATATTATCAAGACTTAAGAGCTATGGTTCCACAGCTACCTTACCATCAATTCTTTGAAGAAACCTACCAGTATATAAAAAATAAATAAATATACAACAATATACATGAAAATAAATAAAATGAAATAAATCTACCAATCTTACTTTTAGGTGCGGAACCATAGCTCTTAATTAGGTCATTATGATATATTATAAAGACCTAAGCTTTATGGTTCTGCAGCTACCTTACCATCAATTCTTTGAAGAAACCTATATAAAAAATAAATATATATACAACAATATACATGAAAATAAATAAAATGAAATAATTCTACCAATCTTACTATTAGGTGCAGAACCATAGCTCTTAATTAGGTCCTTATGATATATTACAAAGACCTAAGAGCTACTATTCCACAGCTACCTTAACATCAATTCTTTGAAGAAACCTATATAAAAAATAAATATATATACAACAATATACATGGAAATATATCAAATGGAATAAATCAACCAATCTTACTATTAGGTGCGGAACAATAGCTCTTAATTAGGTCCTTATGATATATTATAAAGACCTAAGAGCTATGGTTCTGCAGCTACCTTACCATCAATTCTGTGAAGTAACCTATATAAAAAATAAATATATATACAACAATATACATGAAAATATATAAAATGAAATAAATCAACCAATCTTACTATTAGGTGCAGAACCATAGCTCTTAATTAGGTCCTTATGATATATTATATAGACCTAAGAGCTATGGTTCTGCATCTTCCTTACCATCAATTCCATGAAAAAACCTATATAAAAAATAAATATATATACAACCATATATACATGAAAATATATAAAATGAAATAAATCAACCAATCTTACTATTAGGTGCAGAACCATAGCTCTTAATTAGGTCCTTATGATATATTATAAAGACCTAAGAGCTACGGTTCAGCTGCTACCTTACCATCAATTCTTTAAAGAAACCTATATAAAAATAAATAAATATACAACAATATACATGAAAATAAATAAAATGAAATAAATCTACTAATCTTACTTTTAGGTGCGGAACCATAGCTCTTAATTAAGTCCTTATGATATATTATAAAGACCTAAGGTTCCGCAGCTACCTTACCATCAATTCTTTGAAGAAACCTATATAAAAATAAATAAATATACAACAATATACATGAAAATAAATAAAATGAAATAAATCTACCAATCTTACTATTAGGTGCAGAACCATAGCTCTTAATTAGGTCCTTATGATATATTATAAAGACCTAAGAGCTACGGTTCCGCAGCTATCTTACCATCAATTCTTTGAAGAAACCTATTTAAAAAATAAATATATATACAACAATATACATGAAAATATAAAATGAAATAGATCAACCAACCATACTATTTATAGCTGTGGAACCATAGCTCTTTGGTCCTTATGATATTAATTGAACATAGATGGTCCTCAAATAGTCAAAAAATATCACAAGGACCTAAGAGCTACGGTTCCGCAGCTACCTCACCATCAATTCTTTGAGGAAACCTATATGAAAAATAAATATATTTACAACAATATACATGAAAATAAATAAAATGAAATAAATCTACCAATCTTACTTTTAGGTGCGGAACCATAGCTCTTAATTAGGTCATTATGATATATTATAAAGACCTAAGCGTTATGGTTCTGCAGCTACCTTACCATCAATTCTTTGAAGAAACCTATATAAAAATAAATAAATATACAACAATATACATGAAAATAAATAAAATGAAATAATTCTACCAATCTTACTATTAGGTGCAGAACCATAGCTCTTAATTAGGTCCTTATGATATATTATAAAGACCTAAGAGCTACTATTCCACAGCTACCTTAACATCAATTCTTTGAAGAAACCTATATAAAAAATAAATATATATACAACAATATACATGGAAATATATAAAATGAAATAAATCAACCAATCTTACTATTAGGTGCGGAACAATAGCTCTTAATTAGGTCCTTATGATATATTATAAAGACCTAAGAGCTATGGTTCTGCAGCTACCTTACCATCAATTCTGTGAAGTAACCTATATAAAAAATAAATATATATACAACAATATACATGAAAATATATAAAATGAAATAAATCAACCAATCTTACTATTAGGTGCAGAACCATAGCTTTTAATTAGGTCCTTATGATATATTATAAAGACCTAAGAGCTACGGTTCTGCATCTTCCTTACCATCAATTCCATGAAAAAACCTATATAAAAAATAAATATATATACAACCATATATACATGAAAATATATAAAATGAAATAAATCATCCAATCTTACTATTAGGTGCAGAACCATAGCTCTCAATTAGGTCCTTATGATATATTATAAAGACCTAAGAGCTATTGTTCCGCAGCTACCTTACCATCAATTCTTTAAAGAAACCTATATCAAAAATAAATATATATACAACAATTTACATGAAAATATATAAAATGAAATAAATCAACCAATCTTGCTATTAGGTGCAGAACCATAGCTCTCAATTAGGTCCTTATGATATATTATAAAGACCTAAGAGCTATTGTTCCGCAGCTACCTTACCATCAATTCTTAGAAGAAACCTATATAAAAAATAAATATATTTACAACAATATACATGAAAATATACAAAATGAAATAAATCAACCAATCTTGCTATTAGGTGCAGAACCATAGCTCTCAATTAGGTCCTTATGATATATTATAAAGACCTAAGAGCTATTGTTCCGCAGCTACCTTACCATCAATTCTTTAAAGAAACCTATATCAAAAATAAATATATTTACAACAATATACATGAAAATATACAAAATGAAATAAATCAACCAATCTTGCTATTAGGTGCAGAACCATAGCTCTCAATTAGGTCCTTATGATATATTATAAAGACCTAAGAGCTATTGTTCCGCAGCTACCTTACCATCAATTCTTTAAAGAAACCTATATCAAAAATAAATATATATACAACAATTTACATGAAAATATATAAAATGAAATAAATCAACTAATCTTACTATTAGGTGCTGAACCGTAGCTCTTAATTAGGTCCTAATGATATATTATAAAGACCTAAGAGCTACGGTTCCGCAGCTACCTTACCATCAATTCTTAGAAGAAACCTATATAAAAAATAAATATATATACAACCATATACACATGAAAATATATAAAATGAAATAAATCAACCAATCTTAATATTAGGTATAGATCCATAGTTCTTAATTAGGTCCTTATGATATATCATAAAGACATAAGAGCTACGGTTCCCCAGCTACCTTACCATCAATTCTTTGAAGAAACCTATATAAAAAATAAATATATATACAACAATATACATGAAAATATATAAAATGAAATAAATCAACCAATCTTAATATTAGGTATAGATCCATAGCTTTTAATTAGGTCCTTATGATATATTATAAAGACCTAAGAGCTACGGTTCCGCAGCTTCCTTACCATCAATTCTTTTGAAGAAACCTATATAAAAAATAAATATATATACAACAATATACATGAAAATATATAAAATGAAATAAATCAACCAATCTCACTAATAGGTGCGGACCAGTAGCTCTTAATTAGGTCCTTATGATATATTATTAAGACCAAAGAACTACAGCTCAGCAGCTACCTTACCATCAATTCTTTGAAGAGACCTATATAAAAAATAAATATATATATAAAACAATATACATGAAAATATATAAAATGAAATAAATCAACCAATCTTACTATTAGGTGCGGCACCATAGCTCTTAATTAGGTCCTTATGATATATTATCAAGACTTAAGAGCTATGGTTCCACAGCTACCTTACCATCAATTCTTTGAAGAAACCTACCAGTATATAAAAAATAAATTTATATACAACCATATACACATGAAAATACATGTATATTAAATGAAATAAATCAACCAATCTTACTATTAGGTGCGGATCCATAGCTCTTAATTAGGTCCTTATGATATATTAAAAAAGACCTAAGCGCTATGGTTCTGCAGTTACCTTACCATCAATTTTTTGAAGAAACCTATATAAAAAATAAATATATATACAACAATATACATGAAAATATATAAAATGAAGTAAATCAACCAATCTTACTATTAGGTGCGGAACCATAGCTCTTAATTAGGTCCTTATGATATATTATAAAGACCTAAGAGCTACGGTTCCGCAGCTAACTTACCATCAATTCTATGAAGAAACCTATATAAAAAATAAATATATATACAACAATATACATGAAAAAATATAAAATGAAATAAATCAACCAATTTTACTATTAGGTGCGGAACCATAGCTCTTAATTAGGTCCTTATGATATATTATAAAGACTCAAGAGCTACGGTTCCACAGCTACCTTACCATCAATTCTTTGAAGAAACATATATAAAAAATAAATATATATACAACAATATACATGAAAATATATAAAATGAAATAAATCAACTAATCTTACTATTAGGTGCGGAACCATAGCTCTTAATGAGGTCCTTATAGTATATTATAAAGACCTAAGAGCTACGGTTCCGCAGCTACCTTACCATCAATTTTCTGAAGAAACCTATATAAAAAATAAATATATATACAACCATATACACATGAAAATATATAAAATTAAATAAATCAACCAATCTTACTATTAGGTGCGGAACCATAGCTCTTAATTAGGTCCTTATGATATATTATAAAGACTTAAGAGCTACGGTTCCACAGCTACCTTACCATCAATTCTTTGAAGAAACCTATATAAAAAATAAATATATATACAACAATATCCATCAAAATATATAAAATGAAAATAATTAACCAATCTTACTATTAGGTGCGGAACCATAGCTCTTAATTAGGTCCTTATGATATATTATAAAGACTTAAGAGATACAGCTCCGCAGCTACCTTACCATCAATTCTTTGAAGAGACCTATATAAAAAATAAATATATATATGACCATATACACATGAAAATGTATAAAATGAAATAAATCAACCAATCTTACTATTAGGTGCGGAACCATAGCTCTTAATTAGGTCCTTATGATATATTATAAAGACCTAAGAGCTACTGATCAGCAGCTACCTTACCATCAATTCTTTGAAGAAACCTAAATAAAAAATAAATATATATACAACAATATCCATGAAAATATATAAAATGAAATAAATCAACCAATCATACTATTAGGTGCGGAACCATAGCTCTTCATTAGGTCCTTATGATATATTATAAAGACCTAAGAGCTACGGTTCTGCAGTTACCTTACCATCAATTCTTTGAAGAAACCTATTTAAAAAATAAATATATATACAACCATATACACATGAAAATATAAAAAATGAAATAAATCAACCAATCTTACTATTAGGTGCGGAACCATAGCTCTTAATTAGGTCCTTATGATATTTTATAAAGACTCAAGAGCTACTGTTCCGCAGCTACCTTACCATCAATTCTTTAAAGAAACCTAAATAAAAAATAAATATATATATATACAACAATATCCATGAAAATATATAAAATGAAATAAATCAACCAATCTTACTATTAGGTGCGGAACCATAGCTCTTGATTAGGTCCTTATGATATATTATAAAGACTTAAGAGCTACGGTTCCGCAGTAACCTTACCATCAATTCTTTGAAGAAACCTATATAAAAAAAAAATATATATACAACCACAAACACATGAAAATATAAAAAATGAAATAAATCAACCAATCTTACTATTAGGTGCGGAACCATAGCTCTTAATTAGGTCCTTATGATATATTATAAAGATTCAAGAGCTACTGTTCCGCAACTACCTTACCATCAATTCTTTAAACAAACCTAAATAAAAAATAAATATATATACAACAATATCCATGAAAATATATAAAATGAAATAAATCAACCAATCTTACTATCAGGTGCGGAACCATAGCTCTTGATTAGGTCCTTATGATATATTATAAAGACTTAAGAGCTACAGTTCCACAGCTACCTTACCATCAATTCTTTGAAGAAACCTATATAAAAAATAAATATATATACAACAATATACATGAAAATATATAAAATGAAATAAATCAACTAATCTTACTATTAGGTGCGGAACCATAGCTCTTAATTAGGTCCTTATGATATATTATAAAGACCTAAGAGCTACGGTTCCGCAGCTACCTTACCATCAATTCTTTGAAGAAACCTATATAAAAAATAAATATATATACAACAATATCCATCAAAATATATAAAATGAAAATAATCAACCAATCTTACTATTAGGTGCGGAACCATAGCTCTTAATTAGGTCCTTATGATATATTATAAAGACTTAAGAGATACAGCTCCGCAGCTACCTTACCATCAATTCTTTGAAGAGACCTATATAAAAAATAAATATATATACGACCATATACACATGAAAATGTATAAAATGAAATAAATCAACCAATCTTACTATTAGGTGCGGAACCATAGCTCTTAATTAGGTCCTTATGATATATTATAAAGACCTAAGAGCTACTGTTCCGCAGCTACCTTACCATCAATTCTTTGAAGAAACCTAAATAAAAAATAAATAAATATACAACAATATCCATGAAAATATATAAAATGAAATAAATCAACCAATCTTACTATTAGGTGCGGAACCATAGCTCTTCATTAGGTCCTTATGATATATTATAAAGACCTAAGAGCTACGGTTCTGCAGTTACCTTACCATCAATTCTTTGAAGAAACCTATTTAAAAAAAAAATATATATACAACCATATACACATGAAAATATAAAAAATGAAATAAATCAACCAATCTTACTATTAGGTGCGGAACCATAGCTCTTAATTAGGTCCTTATGATATTTTATAAAGACTCAAGAGCTACTGTTCCGCAGTAACCTTACCATCAATTCTTTAAAGAAACCTAAAAAGAAAATAAATATATATACAACAATATCCATGAAAATATATAAAATGAAATAAATCAACCAATCTTACTATTAGGTGCGGAACCATAGCTCTTGATTAGGTCCTTATGATATATTATAAAGACTTAAGAGCTACGGTTCCGCAGTAACCTTACCATCAATTCTTTGAAGAAACCTATATAAAAAATAAATATATATACAACCACATACACATGAAAATATAAAAAATGAAATAAATCAACCAATCTTACTATTAGGTGCGGAACCATAGCTCTTAATTAGGTCCTTATGATATATCATAAAGATTCAAGAGCTACTGTTCCGCAGCTACCTTACCATCAATTCTTTAAAGAAACCTAAATAAAAAATAAATATATATACAACAATATCCATCAAAATATATAAAATGAAATAAATCAACCAATCTTACTATTAGGTGCGGAACCATAGCTCTTGATTAGGTCCTTATGATATATTATAAAGACTTAAGAGATACAGTTCCACAGCTACCTTACCATCAATTCTTTGAAGAAACCTATATAAAAAATAAATATATATACAACAATATACATGAAAATATATAAAATGAAATAAATCAACTAATCTTACTATTAGGTGCAGAACCATAGCTCTTAATTAGGTCCTTATGATATATTATCAAGACCTAAGAGCTACGGTTCCGCAGCTACCTTACCATCAATTCTTTGAAGAAACCTATATAAAAAATAAATATATATACGACCATATACACATGAAAATGTATAAAATGAAATAAATCAACCAATCTTACTATTAGGTGCGGAACCATAGCTCTTAATTAGGTCCTTATGATATATTATAAAGACCTAAGAGCTACTGTTCCGCAGCTACCTTACCATCAATTCTTTGAAGAAACCTAAATAAAAAATAAATAAATATACAACAATATCCATGAAAATATATAAAATGAAATAAATCAACCAATCTTACTATTAGGTGCGGAACCATAGCTCTTCATTAGGTCCTTATGATATATTATAAAGACCTAAGAGCTACGGTTCTGCAGTTACCTTACCATCAATTCTTTGAAGAAACCTATTTAAAAAAAATATATATATACAACCATATACACATGAAAATATAAAAAATGAAATAAATCAACCAATCTTACTATTAGGTGCGGAACCATAGCTCTTAATTAGGTCCTTATGATATTTTATAAAGACTCAAGAGCTACTGTTCCGCAGTAACCTTACCATCAATTCTTTAAAGAAACCTAAAAAGAAAATAAATATATATACAACAATATCCATGAAAATATATAAAATGAAATAAATCAACCAATCTTACTATTAGGTGCGGAACCATAGCTCTTGATTAGGTCCTTATGATATATTATAAAGACTTAAGAGCTACGGTTCCGCAGTAACCTTACCATCAATTCTTTGAAGAAACCTATATAAAAAATAAATATATATACAACCACATACACATGAAAATATAAAAAATGAAATAAATCAACCAATCTTACTATTAGGTGCGGAACCATAGCTCTTAATTAGGTCCTTATGATATATCATAAAGATTCAAGAGCTACTGTTCCGCAGCTACCTTACCATCAATTCTTTAAAGAAACCTAAATAAAAAATAAATATATATACAACAATATCCATCAAAATATATAAAATGAAATAAATCAACCAATCTTACTATTAGGTGCGGAACCATAGCTCTTGATTAGGTCCTTATGATATATTATAAAGACTTAAGAGATACAGTTCCACAGCTACCTTACCATCAATTCTTTGAAGAAACCTATATAAAAAATAAATATATATACAACAATATACATGAAAATATATAAAATGAAATAAATCAACTAATCTTACTATTAGGTGCAGAACCATAGCTCTTAATTAGGTCCTTATGATATATTATAAAGACCTAAGAGCTACGGTTCCGCAGCTACCTTACCATCAATTCTTTGAAGAAACCTATATAAAAAATAAATATATATACAACCATATACACATGAAAATATATAAAATGAAATAAATCAACCAATCTTACTATTAGGTGCGGAACCATAGCTCTTAATTAGGTCCTTATGATATATTATAAAGACTTAAGAGCTACGGTTCCACAGCTACCTTACCATCAATTCTTTGAAGAAACCTATATAAAAAATAAATATATATACAACAATATCCATGAAAATATATAAAATGAAAATAATCAACCAATCTTACTATTAGGTGCGGAACCATAGCTCTTAATTAGGTCCTTATGATATATTATAAAGACTTAAGAGCTATGGTTCCGCAGTTACCTTACCATCAATTCTTTGAAGAAACCTATTTAAAAAATAAATATATATACAACCATATACACATGAAAATATAAAAAATGAAATAAATCAACCAATCTTACTATTAAGTGCGGAACCTTAGCTGTTAATTAGGTCCTTATGATATATTATAAAGACCTAAGAGCTACGGTTCAGCTGCTACCTTACCATCAATTCTTTAAAGAAACCTATATAAAAATAAATAAATATACAACAATATACATGAAAAATAAATAAAATGAAATAAATCTACTAATCTTACTTTTAGGTGCGGAACCATAGCTCTTAATTAAGTCCTTATGATATATTATAAAGACCTAAGGTTCCGCAGCTACCTTACCATCAATTCTTTGAAGAAACCTATATAAAAATAAATAAATATACAACAATATACATGAAAATAAATAAAATGAAATAAATCTACCAATCTTACTATTAGGTGCAGAACCATAGCTCTTAATTAGGTCCTTATGATCTTATGATATATTATAAAGACCTAAGAGCTATGGTTCCGCAGCTACCTTACCATCAATTCTTTGAAGAAACCTATATCAAAAATAAATATATATACAACAATATACATGAAAATATATAAAATGAAATAAATCAACCAATCTTACTATTAGGTGCGGAATCGTAGCTCTTAATTAGGTCCTTATGATATATTATAAAGACCTAAGAGCTACGGTTCCGCAGTTACCTTACCATCAATTCTTTGAAGAAACCTATTTAAAAAATAAATATATATACAACAATATACATGAAAATATAAAATGAAATAGATCAACCAACCATACTATTTATAGCTGTGGAACCATAGCTCTTTGGTCCTTATGATATTTATTGAACATAGATGGTCCTCAAATAGTCAAAAAATATCACAAGGACCTAAGAGCTACGGTTCCGCAGCTACCTCGTCATCAATTCTTTGAGGAAACCTATATGAAAAATAAATATATTTACAACAATATAAATAAATATATTTACAACAATATACATGAAAATATACAAAATGAAATAAATCAACCAATCTTACTATTAGGTGCAGAACCATAGCTCTCAATTAGGTCCTTATGATATATTAGAATGACCTAAGAGCTATTGTTCCGCAGCTACCTTACCATCAATTCTTTAAAGAAACCTATATAAAAAATAAATATATATACAACAATTTACATGAAAATATATAAAATGAAATAAATCAACTAATCTTACTATTAGGTGCTGAACCGTAGCTCTTAATTAGGTCCTTATGATATATTATAAAGACCTAAGAGCTACGGTTCTGCAGCTACCTTACCATCAATTCTTAGAAGAAACCTATATAAAAAATAAATATATATATACAACCATATACACATGAAAATATATAAAATGAAATAAATCAACCAATCTTAATATTAGGTATATATCCATAGCTCTTAATTAGGTCCTTATGATATATTATAAAGACCTAAGAGCTACGGTTCCCCAGCTACCTTACCATCAATTCTTTGAAGAAACCTATATAAAAAATAAATATATATACAACCATATACACATGAAAATATAAAAAATGAAATAAATCAACCAATCTTACTATTAGGTGCGGAACCATAGCTCTTAATTAGGTCCTTATGATATTTTATAAAGACTCAAGAGCTACTGTTCCGCAGCTACCTTACCATCAATTCTTTAAAGAAACCTAAATAAAAAATAAATATATATATATACAACAATATCCATGAAAATATATAAAATGAAATAAATCAACCAATCTTACTATTAGGTGCGGAACCATAGCTCTTGATTAGGTCCTTATGATATATTATAAAGACTTAAGAGCTATGGTTCCGCAGTAACCTTACCATCAATTCTTTGAAGAAACCTATATAAAAAATAAATATATATACAACCACATACACATGAAAATATAAAAAATGAAATAAATCAACCAATCTTACTATTAGGTGCGGAACCATAGCTCTTAATTAGGTCCTTATGATATATTATAAAGATTCAAGAGCTACTGTTCCGCAACTACCTTACCATCAATTCTTTAAACAAACCTAAATAAAAAATAAATATATATACAACAATATCCATGAAAATATATAAAATGAAATAAATCAACCAATCTTACTATTAGGTGCGGAACCATAGCTCTTGATTAGGTCGTTATGATATATTATAAAGACTTAAGAGCTACAGTTCCACAGCTACCTTACCATCAATTCTTTGAAGAAACCTATATAAAAAATAAATATATATACAACAATATACATGAAAATATATAAAATGAAATAAATCAACTAATCTTACTATTAGGTGCGGAACCATAGCTCTTAATTAGGTCCTTATGATATATTATAAAGACCTAAGAGCTACGGTTCCGCAGCTACCTTACCATCAATTCTTTGAAGAAACCTATATAAAAAATAAATATATATACAACAATATCCATCAAAATATATAAAATGAAAATAATCAACCAATCTTACTATTAGGTGCGGAACCATAGCTCTTAATTAGGTCCTTATGATATATTATAAAGACTTAAGAGATACAGCTCCGCAGCTACCTTACCATCAATTCTTTGAAGAGACCTATATAAAAAATAAATATATATACGACCATATACACATGAAAATGTATAAAATGAAATAAATCAACCAATCTTACTATTAGGTGCGAAACCATAGCTCTTAATTAGGTCCTTATGATATATTATAAAGACCTAAGAGCTACTGTTCCGCAGCTACCTTACCATCAATTCTTTGAAGAAACCTAAATAAAAAATATATATATATACAACAATATCCATGAAAATATATAAAATGAAATAAATCAACCAATCTTACTATTAGGTGCGGAACCATAGCTCTTCATTAGGTCCTTATGATATATTATAAAGACCTAAGAGCTACGGTTCTGCAGTTACCTTACCATCAATTCTTTGAAGAAACCTATTTAAAAAATAAATATATATACAACCATATACACATGAAAATATAAAAAATGAAATAAATCAACCAATCTTACTATTAGGTGCGGAACCATAGCTCTTAATTAGGTCCTTATGATATTTTATAAAGACTCAAGAGCTACTGTTCCGCAGTAACCTTACCATCAATTCTTTAAAGAAACCTAAAAAGAAAATAAATATATATACAACAATATCCATGAAAATATATAAAATGAAATAAATCAACCAATCTTACTATTAGGTGCGGAACCATAGCTCTTGATTAGGTCCTTATGATATATTATAAAGACTTAAGAGCTACGGTTCCGCAGTAACCTTACCATCAATTCTTTGAAGAAACCTATATAAAAAATAAATATATATACAACCACATACACATGAAAATATAAAAAATGAAATAAATCAACCAATCTTACTATTAGGTGCGGAACCATAGCTCTTAATTAGGTCCTTATGATATATTATAAAGATTCAAGAGCTACTGTTCCGCAGCTACCTTACCATCAATTCTTTAAAGAAACCTAAATAAAAAATAAATATATATACAACAATATCAATCAAAATATATAAAATGAAATAAATCAACCAATCTTACTATTAGGTGCGGAACCATAGCTCTTGATTAGGTCCTTATGATATATTATAAAGACTTAAGAGCTACAGTTCCACAGCTACCTTACCATCAATTCTTTGAAGAAACCTATATAAAAAATAAATATATATACAACAATATACATGAAAATATATAAAATGAAATAAATCAACTAATCTTACTATTAGGTGCAGAACCATAGCTCTTAAATAGGTCCTTATGATATATTATAAAGACCTAAGAGCTACGGTTCCGCAGCTATCTTACCATCAATTCTTTGAAGAAACCTATATAAAAAATAAATATATATACAACCATATACACATGAAAATATATAAAATGAAATAAATCAACCAATCTTACTATTAGGTGCGGAACCATAGCTCTTAATTAGGTCCTTATGATATATTATAAAGACTTAAGAGCTACGGTTCCGCAGCTTCCTTACCATCAATCCTATGAAAAAACCTATATAAAAAATAAATATATATACAACCATATATACATGAAAATATATAAAATGAAATAAATCAACCAATCTAACTATTAGGTGCAGAACCATAGCTCTTAATTAGGTCCTTATGATATATTATAAAGACCTAAGAGCTACGGTTCAGCTGTTACCTTACCATCAATTCTTTAAAGAAACCTATATAAAAATAAATAAATATACAACAATATACATGAAAATAAATAAAATGAAATAAATCTACTAATCTTACTTTTAGGTGCGGAACCATAGCTCTTAATTAAGTCCTTATGATATATTATAAAGACCTAAGGTTCCGCAGCTACCTTACCATCAATTCTTTGAAGAAACCTATATAAAAATAAATAAATATACAACAATATACATGAAAATAAATAAAATGAAATAAATCTACCAATCTTACTATTAGGTGCAGAACCATAGCTCTTAATTAGGTCCTTATGATCTTATGATATATTATAAAGACCTAAGAGCTATGGTTCCGCAGCTACCTTACCATCAATTCTTTGAAGAAACCTATATCAAAAATAAATATATATACAACAATATACATGAAAATATATAAAATGAAATAAATCAACCAATCTTACTATTAGGTGCGGAATCGTAGCTCTTAATTAGGTCCTTATGATATATTATAAAGACCTAAGAGCTACGGTTCCGCAGTTACCTTACCATCAATTCTTTGAAGAAACCTATTTAAAAAATAAATATATATACAACAATATACATGAAAATATAAAATGAAATAGATCA